CCAAGGCGTCGACGACGAAAGCCAACTCGCCGTCATCGCGCTCATGTTCGAGATCTCCTCGGGCGACTCCGCATCCATGATCCAATCGCTGTCCTCCTCGCTCGCCGACATCGCCACACCGGGCACCAAGACCACCATCTCTTCCGGCATCGACTTCACCGACGTTGTTGAGACGCTCAAGACCTCTGATATCCAGACGTACAGCGGTTCGCTTACCACCCCTCCTTGCGCCGAGGGCGTCACTTTCCTCATTGTCAAGGACCCTCTTCCTGTCTCTGTTGAGGACTTCAACGCTATCAAGAAGATTGTCAAGTTCAACTCCCGTTTCATTCAGAACACCCTCGGTGGAGAGAACATCTTGGAGATTGGCGCATCCGCCGGTAACACTTCGATGCCTCCTGCTCAGAACGCTACGCCTCGTGCCACCAACGTTGAGATCAACGCTGATCTGGGCCTTCTTGATGCTAAGGTATGCTCTTCCCTCCCTACCATGCTTTTGTCAGATCACATATACTAATTCGTTGCTCAGGTCACCGTCGGTACTCCCATCCAGAGGCGTGTACGCAAGTACTAAATGTAATATTCCTTTCTTGTTAGAAAATTTTGTTGCATGGTTGTGGAGTGAGTGGTGTTGTAGTGAGTTGTGGACAACTCAGATTTCATTTCATCTTTGACTATTTCGCATTTACACAGAGAGTGGTGGGGTGATACCAGCTTTCCTTTTTCTTAGTCTACTAGATCATGATTTAGATAAGACTTATTACAGCAATGTCACATTTTCTGCTGCAAATCCTTCCCTCTCGGCGATTCCTGCGCATTTGCTAAGTTACTGTCTTTGATCGATCGAACGATATCCGTATAAACAGTATCAGAGATGTTATTGATGTTGCTTTGTTGAATGTAGCTTGTAGTGATTGAATGACGGACGGCCGCGATGAACCCTGCAGCAAGTGTGAAACAGAGTCACACCGGGGGAAGATGAATATCTATCTAAACTTAACAATCTAGAAGGTCGCGTTGCGTCATGACCTTATTAACTTTCATTTCAATGCTGATCTAGACTGTAATGCACATGTTCAGTCTCTTCCTTCAATAAGATGTGAACATTCTAGTCAAGATTATCGGACGCGCGTTTCATTGCACGAGAAATCAAAATGACGGTGTCAACACATGCAAGGAAGAAGATGTTAAAATTGTAATCTGACTTTAAGCTATCCTGTTTTGCCAACTCCAGCAATGCAATGAACAAATCCAAAAGATCCCACTGTGCTCTGCCATGCGCAGATCCCACTCGCTGGGCAGTCTCGCGCAAACCCATACTACAGCTGCCTATCTTACACTGCAGACTACCGTCTACGTTCCTAATCGTAGCCAGGATCGCCACTAGGTGCCGGCGTCGCAGCATCCCAACCGCCAGGTGTGGGCGCCGCAATACCATATCCGCCACGCGACGTGTCACCAGGTGTAGGCGCAGCGTAGTTGCCTGGAGTAGGAGCATCCATGGGTGGGCCACCAGGCGTAGGCGCAGAGTAAGCACCGTAGCCACCTGGAGTAGGAGCAGCGTAAGCGCCAGGTGTTGGGGCGTTGTAAGCACCAGGCGTAGGAGCAGAGAGACCACCAGACTTTGAAGCGGTGTTTCCGGATGATCCACCCCAACCAGGTGTGCGGCCGCCAGAGTTGAAGCCACCGTACTGGGTACGGTTTCCATCATTGCCGCCGTAGGCTGTCGCTCCGCCATATGATGTGGCGCCTCCGTATGCAGTTGCGCCGCCATATGCAGTTCGGGAGCCATCGCCGCCTCCATAAGCAGTCCGTGATCCGTCTCCTCCGCCATACGCAGTGCGTCCGCCATCTCCACCCCAACCAGGCGTTCGACCTCCAGCAGCGGCACCACCTCCCCAACCGGGTGTGCGACCACCACCGCCGCCTCCCCAGCCAGGCGTACGGCCACCACCACCAGAGTTGCCCCAGCCGGGTGTACGTCCGCCAGCTGCACCGCCGTAGCTTGTCTGACCACCAGAGAAGCCTCCACGTGAGCGGTTGGGGAACTTGCCTCCCATTTCGACACTGGCGCCAGTGATGGGATCTTTGATAGTCAGGAGCTCCTTCTTCACCGAGACTTGCTTGTTCTTTGTGTGCAACTCGATACGGGCTTCGTCGTTCATGGTATCCTTGACAATACCCAACAGGCCCTTGTAGGCACCCTTTCGGATGACAACCGTTTTGCCAATGAGCTTGTCACGGCCAAAAGTGGCACGGGGTGGAGGCATAGCAGTCGCGTTGCCGTTCGGGCCTGCATTCAGGGCAGGGTTGATGCCACTAAGATCTGGGCCCTGTGCTTGAGCGCGACCACTCTTTGCTGCCATGGTAACAACGTTGTTGCTTCGAACCACGAAGATACCCTGGTTCTCGACGAGCTCGCGGTTCCGTACGAAAAGTGTGCCTCTGTGGATGTATAGAACCTTGCCTTGACGGCCTTCGCCTCCATACTCCTTGACGTCGTCCTCGTGTCGGATTTCGGATCCGTCGCGGTCGGTTGCTACAGCATGTTTGTTCCTCCCCACGATTTGCGAGACCTGTGTATGGAGGAGTGTGCGGACATCGCCTTGTTGATCGACAATTCGTAGGACTTCGCGATCGACACGAACGACGCAACCGATGGTTGAGGCACTGTAGAATGTTAGTTCGTTGTCAAGTCAACGGGAGGAGATAACTTACTCAATCTGTACAAAGTCGTAGAGATCAAAGTTGGAGTCAGCACCGACGTTTGCCGAATCAGCAGCGCGCTTCAGGTCTTTACTAAAGACTGTGATTTCCTGCTGAGTGGAGTCGCAAAGCAAGGTGATCTTATCATCCTTGATTCTAGTGACTAGACCAACTTCGTCGACATACTTGCTGCCACCGATGACCTTGACGTGATCACCGTCGCGGAACAATTTCCGTAGCGTCTTGACGGGTGCGTCGATTCTTCTGCCGCGAAGATCACCTTCGCTGACACGGAGCGTCAGGATGTCGCCTATGACAGTGACAGTTGTACCGCGGATACCCTTCTGTTCACCGGTGTAAATCTCGACGTTGTCTCCCGCAGCGAAGGCGGAGCCAGAGTCTGCGGCCTTCTGCGCGGCCTGGACAGCCAAAAGATCCATGGTCTCGGTACCATCCGCGTTTTGGATTGCGAAGAACTGCAATTCCTCCATCTTGGGGTTGACCTTTTCAGTGCTGACCCAGTTGACCTTGACTTCCTTGATCAGGAAGCCGTTCTGGTAATCCTCGCCCTTGTATGTGTATGCCCTTTGGTTGCCAGATCCTGTCATGCTGAGATGCTTCATGTGTCGCTTCTTCGCTTCGGCTTCGTTGAAAAGCTTCGCAGGTGGACGCTCGACCTGTCGACCGAAGAAGCCGCGCTTGCGCTTGTTGTCGGCGGCGGAGTTGATGTCCTCGTTCAGACCGTAGTCTAGACGTGGCACAAGTTGTACGACACAGTCAAGACCGTTAGTCGAGACCTCAACGACCTTTGCGAGATCGCCTTTGTATGTGGGGGGACGCAGCATGCGCACGAATTTGCCAACCTCCAACGGCGCACGCTTCTTCTTACGGAGCAGATCTGGACGCTCTTTTGGAGGAATCGAGAACTGACCAGAGCCCATGAAGACGTTCTGTATGCCCTCGATCAACTCCACCACAGCCTGCTTCGAGTCGGCCTCAACGTAGAGGAAACCAGACTGGGGTCCAGTAGGGCCTCGCTCAAAGGCCGAGTAGACCTGGACTGGCTGACCTGTGCGCATCTTCTCGTCGATACGCTTCTGAATAGACATTATGATCTCGCGCTCCTTTCCAGGACGGCACTTGCAACCCCAGATAGACGGATCGTCGACTGTGGGTAGGGCCAGGGGAACGGCACCGGCTCCACCGCGGCGAGTGCTCTGCATCTCACGCCGCCTGTACTTCTCGTCGAACTCCTTGGCGAGCTCCTCAACGTCCTTTTGTGCATTGACTTCGCGGCGCATGTCAAGTTCGCGGTGGTGGCGGTCGTCGAGATCGGCGCCCGTGGGCTCAAGGAGATCATCGGGGTGGACTTCATCAACACCCTCGTCGTCGCCCTCCTCCTCCTCTTCCTCATCCTCGTCGACTTCGGCTTCAACATCAATGAACATGTTGCGCTTGGCCTTCTTTCTTCGCTTGGCAGGTCGGGCCTAGGATAGTCAGTATTTAGACAGCGCGAATGAATGATGAGACCCACGACAACATCCTCGTCGTCCTCATCTTCTTCGTCATCTTCCTCGTCATCGTCATCGTCGAGATCTATGCCGCCGCCCTCTTCATCTTCGTCGTCATTGCCTGTCCTGTTTGGCGCATCGACTTCGTCCTCTTCGTCCTCGTCTACGGGCCTGCGCGAGGCCTTGGTCGTTGGCGCGACGTCATCCTCGTCGATTTCAGGCGCGGGGTTGAAGTCTTCTTCTTCCTCTTCGGGGTCGCTGCCGTAGGACGCCATGATTATCGATGCGTGTGGTGATAGAGGAGCGTGTCCTTGTTAAGAGCTGTCGCGAAGCTCGGGGGTGTGACCGCGGCAATCAAGCGGACGTGAGGGTGATGCTATCCGCTGATTAGTTTTGGACGGGCGGCGCGCAGTCGGAGAGGGAAAAGGAGGAAAGTAAGAGCAGACGGCGAGCGTCGAAGTTGACGGGCTATGTTTTAAACATGGGAACGTCGAACAAGGCCCATCCAAAGAAACCGCGCTAAGCCGGCGCGCCGCGAGGGTCCGTGCGCCTTTGATGGCCTCGACGCCACGCCTCCAGGGTGAAGCATGACCAACGCGTGGAGTTCACCTCTAAAGCAATACAGATTCAGTATAATTACGATGGTCTCTGTATGAAAGCTGCAAATTTACATGCTTTACACGCCCATCACGAGACACACCATCAAATAGGAGATCGCGACCTACTGCCCACAGAGGATCGCGTCAAGTCGACATCTTGAGTAGCAACATCTATATCTCAATATCATAACCTTGCCTTCTGCTCCGTCTTATCCTCTTCTACTTCGCATACCCTTGTCACAGCCCTTCCCCAAGCTTTCCGCTCCCTCACATCCTCCAGCGCTCTACTAACCGCCTCCAACCCCCAGTAATCCTCCTTGTATATGACAGGCCGAATCTTACCATCCTCAACCAACTTCATGAACCCGTCCCACACATCTTGAGTCCGTTGCGGATCTCTTCTCCCATCTTCTCCAAACCGCTATCGTGAGTCAGCACACGAAACGAACACGCAAAATCCCAAGTGCAGGACGACCAGGAAAGGCATACTTACATAACCAAACACCGCAACTCCCTTGAGTAGAATCTTATTAACCTTCAGGTTCTCCATCTTTCCCCCTCTTGCCGCAAACCCAACAACGACCAACCTTCCCCGATACCTCAAACACCTAATCCCACTCTCCACAGCCCCAATCCCATCATACACGACATCCACCCCCTCCCCACAATTCCCCAACGCCTTAACCCTCGCTTCCCACCCCTCCTGTCCATAATCCACAACCTCATCCGCCCCAACACTCCTCACAACCCCAGTTTTCTCCTTCCCTCCAACAACAGCAATAACCCTCGCCCCAACCGCCTTGGCAATCTGCACAGCCATGACACCCAACCCGCCACTCGCACCGAGCACGAGAACAGTTTCCCCGGCTTTGAGTTGCGCAACAGAAATCAAAGCGCCATAACTCACCGCACCGCTTGCGCCAACGGCGCAGGCTTCAGCGTTGGTCCATTGCGAGGGGACGCGGCGGATGGAGGGTTCAGAGACGCAGATTTGCTCTGCGTAGGCGCCTAGGCCGCCGCCGAAGACGCGGGTGCCGGATGGGAAGGAAGAGGAAGGGGGGCTGTGGGTAACGAAGCCAGCGTATTCTGTGCCTAGGATGAAGGGCGGTTGCACGTGTCTGCGGTTGTTTTGGTGCAGGCCTTGGGCGTAGAGGAGGTCGACGTGGGTTACGGCTGCGTGGGTGATTTTGATGTGGATGTCTTGTGACGATTTTGAGGATGGATTTGAGATGGTGGTAGGTTTGAGGTCTGTTACGTTCTGTAGGTGTTTGTTAGGGAGGGTAATGGTACTTGAATGGGCGGCTTACGGAGACAAATTTGTCGATGTGGATGGCCTTCATCTTTGTAAAGCAACAGGCGCAACCTCAATCTTAGTTTAGCGGCGTATCCTTACACATTACAAGTTGAAGCATTGCAGTAAACAACGAGAGTAGTACATGCACCATATGCATGCCGGGAGATCGACGCGTCTACGGGTGTGGGGTACAACGAGTTGCCGAGGTTTGACTGGATGCGCGACTCTGATGAAGCGGCAGCAACAGAAACGAAGATTACGAGACAATGAGCAGTTGTGATTAGCGGAGATTATTCAGTGATCCGGTATTATACATGCACTCGATTCTCTTGCCTCGCTTGATACGCTAAAATCTGCCATACGCGGTTGCCATCCTCCACGAGCAGATACAAATACAAACCAGAAGCGCAGAAGCTCCCTGTGTAGCCCTCCCGCATCGCGAAACCATTTCCGCATTCTGTTTCTAGCCACGCATTCACGTACCCGGAGACTGATCATCCACTTGCCCAAGTGCCAAGGACGCCTCATCGCGGGCCTTCTGACGCCGCATATGCCATTTCTCAACATCCGACATAGGTTTCTTGGCCTCGAACGACTTCCGACCCTTTTGCGCCGCCATGTGAGCTTTCGTCCAGACAGCCGATATAGCGATGAGGGTGACGAGACCCAAAGCGGTCCAGTATACAATGTGGAACTCCCTCTCCAGGTGCTGTCGCTCCTGTGCCGCCGGTGCCTTCTGTTGTAGATGCGTGCTCGGTTCGGAATGAGATGCCGCCGTCATGGGGATTTGCTGTGGTCTGATGACGGGTCCGAGAAGAAGGTTGGAGATCGGGGCTTGTCGACCGAGGATGCTGAGGAGCTCTGTCATGGACATGTTGAGGCCGCTACTCAGTGCGTCGAGCACAAGCATCTTGTCGAGGTCGGGGTCCTGAGACATACTGCCGTCGCCGAGTGACTGTATCTGTTAGCGCGTGTTTATGATGAGCTGTCACAAGCGTACCTTATTAGGTGGTGTTTACGCAATCGATCATGCGGGAGCATACAGTTGTCAGGTTGGCTACTCGCGGAGACTAAACAGAGCTCTGAAAAGATACGATAAGGGAGGAGCCACCTCGGTGTCGGACCACTTGCTTGTCGTAACGGAAGGAACCAGCGCGATCGGTAAGAGCGATTGTTAATGAATGGGGAAAGAGCTACCACATCGGCCATCCAGTACCAGACAACATGCTGGCGTTGAAGACATTATTGTTCAACAAGCCTTCTGAAGGCAGATAGTCCATCAGATCCTCGAAGCCCAGACTGTCGATATCGAAATTCCAGGTGGTCGGATCGGCGAATGTTGGTTGAACCTCAGAATCTAGAGGCAGCTGTTGAGTCGCACGGTCGTTGTCCGGCATGGGAATACCAGCCGTGTTGCTGGGAATATAGGAACAGGCTTGGGTGGTTGCTGTGTCCGCTGATAGTGTGGACCTGTGGCTTGATCCATCCCTGAGCTTTTCATACTCTGCCAAAAGCGACATGAGCAGACGCACGCCATGTACTGCAACACTTGACGTGTGAAACAGTTGCAAGTACCTGATAGCTCGCGTGACATGTAGATGGCACTCTTGTGCCTCCGCGTCTGCTTCAGCACGATGAAAGAGCTCCAGAATGAGGCAAATACCGGCGGTGATGATGAAAGCTTGTTCAACCCACCATTGCGGCTCTTGCGCTTCTCGAGTGGTGTATAAGCTAATGAGACTCTGCGCTGCGCTCATACAGGCCCACCGGCTGTATGTGTAGCGGACGTCCTTGAAGCTCTTGCTCAAGAAATTTTGATGGACTGATGATACGTGACAGAATTAGTATACGTCTGTGCACAATCTATGATGGTGAATACTTACTCATAATGATCTTGTGATGTGTCGATGCGTGGTGCAGCCGCTTCGCCCAGACGACCCATTGTGGCCAACTGGGATCGTGAGGTACCCGAGGAAGAAGGTATCTCGGCAGCTTCTCCGCACACAAAGTACGCATTTCGCCATCAAATTTGAGGATCGTGGCGTATTTGATAGCGTCGTCTTTGTCCTCGAGTTCCACCATAGCGTTGTGAACGTCGAGAAGTAACGCAGCGCAGTCAAAGGTCCACTTGGCGACGCCTACGATTGTCGGAGTTTCTGTGTCGGCGACGGGCGTCATGGTTTCCTCGTCTAATTCGCGCGGCCTTGCGCTCGTGAAATGCCGCCATTGGAGTGTCAACGTGTAAGAGGCGGATGAAGTACAACACAGCCTAAAGAATGGATGAGTGAATTGTTCATGAATCGCCTGAACCGTGCTTTAGACGTACCACTCCTGGCATACAGTCCCGTACCAAACCCTACGGCCAATTTCGCGCTCGATGAATGCTTCTTTCTGTCTTGCGTCCAATTCAGTTATCCTATCGTCGTCTGGATGGGGTCCAAGTCTGCTTGATCAGTTACTAGAGTCCGTATCTCAGGAATCTATGCCACCTACTTGTGCAAACCAAGCCCTTTCGCAATGACTACCCCCACGCTACGGAGAGCGATCCATTGATTACTTGAGCCAGCTAGATGTTCATACGCGTGCATGATATGAATTGTCTGTACCGAGTGAATACTGTATTGCGATGTATAATTCCCAAGGTTCAGGCATGAGATCGATGCTCCGCCCCATATGCGTGCCAGCTGGACTTTGTCGTCAACCGAGAAGCCCCAGGACGTCGAAGCTATTTCTGAAGAGCCGATGATACTGGATGAAAGAATTGCGACTACAAGATTGGAATTAGTGACTTTAGTATCGACCGAGAAGATTGAGTCTGGTCACCGTAACCTTCGCATTGATGGCATATCAAGTAAGGTTGGCCTGCATCATTCGAAATGGAGGTCAACTTACACAAGAGGGCTACCCATGTCCAGTCAAGGTCTTGCAGAGCAAGCTCACACGACTGACCATACGCTTGAAGCAGCTTCTTTCGAAAGCTTGGCCCATGGTAGATGCCGCCGTGCCAGTACATCATGTATTGTTCGTAGTGCTCCACAATAAGCATTAACTTTTCTCTCGGCGGTAGAATCGACTGCAGGTACTGTGTCTCCACTATCCTCGCTGCAGCCGAGTAGCAGCTCGCAATAGAGGTCGACCCGTTCGGTCCATCTCGTGGCGATCGTTTCGACCGGGCGTAAGAGAAGCTCTTGTCGAAACGGCTTTGATTGGCGTCTGCATCTTTCTCTTCCAATATAGCGCTAATCGTCATGTCGGGTAAACCGGTTCGCCAGACTGCTTCCTCATGCGGCTCGTTCCGACCCGATTGAGACCCTGCCGTTTGGGGATGGATTGGGGGTAGCGCGACCTGAGCATTTGCATCGGGAGACGGGCCAGATGTAGATGTGTCGCTTGAACCGGCTGCCGAAAGTTTCCGGGGATATTTGCGATGAACATTTGGATTGTATCCGTTCACCCATTTGGTCGTGCAAAGATGACCTTCATTGTTCTGTACGCACCTTGTGCAAGGTGCCTTTCGATCGCACTTCTGCCGTCTCTGAGAGCACCGTGTACAGGTCTGGCGCTGCTTGGGCATGATAGGCCGCTCAGTAATCTGTATGTGATAGGCCTATGCAGTCGTACAACACCCTTGGCTTCGTCTTTTGCTTGTTTGGTGGCACTTGTTTGTACAACTACCTAGGTACGAAGGAACGAGTCTCAAGGTCGACGGGTGTTTTTAAGCGAATACAGATTAGAGTGAGTAGCGTGCAGTGCGTACAACGGCGGAAGGTCATGAAAGCTGATGTACGAGGCCATGTGCGAATCGTACAAACCTTCGTACAACGAACAGCCCGTGCTTCCTCAGACTAGACGCTCTGACCACGCTTCAGTGTGGGTAAGCTGATGATTAACGTTTGCCCAGAACATTGGACGCGTCGACATGGTTCATAATGTGTAGTGACAGAGTGTAGGAAGCTGCGACACTCCTGGGTACTATCATGAATCGACGGTCCGTGCGCTCAACACACGGACTCAGTACGGAGTTAAGGATTTCTCACGCATCGACGTGGAACACGAAGTGAGTTTCGAAAGGCACGAGGGCATAAACAAAAGTTGTATCGTACATTGCTGCTTACGAGCTGTTCAATGTTTACACGTAACATTATCTAAGATCGTCTATATTTTTACTCAAAGTATGCTTCAAGATAACTACGCATTCGTAATGAAGCACATCCGTCATCCCGTAATGTGGGCAAAGCTTGATTTTGACTACGCATGCAACTAAACTAGTGCGAGCACCTTCCATCCTGCAATATACATCCTCGTCAGTATATACATGCCTGCTCCCGCCATCATCATGACACCAGAGAAGACGTTCAGCCCCCAGTACTTTCCATTGTTTTGGACGACGATCGCTCCTGCAATTGGATTACCGATCAAACCCGCAATTGAGATGCAGGCGAAGACAACACCAACACGGATCCCAATCTGTTCGACCTTGGAAATATATGCGATCTGGGCAGGCAACAGTGACACGAAAGCACCGGAAGCGAACCCGTAGAGGCCGGCGAATGTAATGAATGCCGCGTTACCTGATGCGGGGATAGCCAGGGCAAGGACCAGAATGCCAGCTACGAGGCACCAGAGTGACTGCATATTGAACTTGCCAACCTTGTCCGCGAGGGCACCGGGAATGATGCGACCGAAGATACTAGCGGCGTTGAGAATAGCTAGAAGATATCCAGCCAAGGTAGTCGACATTCCAGCGGCCATCGCTTGAACCTCGATGAAGTTGATGGGGATAACTAACTCTGGTATTAGTACGCGTCTTATCGGCAGCTCGTACAGGGGGACAACTTACACAGTCCCATGAAGAACAAAAATGACGCAATTGTCAGTAAGACGAAGCGAATATCGCCAAAAGGCTCCACAAACACCTTGAACTCGAAGGTTCTGGGCTGTGGCGGTAGGCGAGATTTGACAGTGAGGAAAGCGATAGTCATCATGCCGAGGATGAGGAAGCCAAATGTTCTCATTGTCCAGCCATAGCCGATTTCGGGGATGAGGTGTGTTGCCATGATGGGAAAGATGATGCCGCCTAGTCCACTGCCAGCTGCCATGACTCCGTATGCCAGGCCTCTCTTCTTCAAGAACCATGTAGGAATGGTGCTCGTTCCTGCCTGGAAGATACAGTTCAGACCTAGGGGGCTGCAGATGCCTTGGGCGAGGATGAACTGCCAGTACTCGGTGCATAGGCTGGTCATCATGAGACCAAGCACGTGGAACAAAGTACCGAACAGTAATATGTACTTGGGGCCGTAGTTATCGTAAAGAAAACCGACGATAGGTCCAGGCGCAAACATGACGAAGATCTCGAGCGAAGCGATCCAGGCGACGGTAGACGGCGAGTACGCGCTGAGTTGATTCCGCTGGTAGTAACTTTGGAACACTCCGACGCAGTTCAGCCATCCAAATGAGCAGAAAAGACAACAGAAGCCTCCGAGGAGACACAAATAGGCGTCTCTTCCACCATCAGGGAATTGACTGGGATGGAATGGGCTCACGGCCGCTGTAGGCTCGGTCGTATCGGGTTGCTTTTCATCGACTGGTGCTGGCGGTTGTTCGACATCGGATTGGGGAAGTCGTGGCTTCTCCTCGTGCAAAGACGCCACTGAGCTTGTAGTCTGCGACATGGTAGTAGACGATAGCACTAGGGGTGGGAAGTTGAGCGTGAAGGAGTTGGTATGATGAGAGCTGGGCTAGGCCATGATTAAGTAGTCAATCATTGAGGTTGACATGGAGAGGCGTAACGGTGCTTCGTTCCTTACCATGGAATCCGTGTGATCCGCACATTCGATATCAAGCTATTATTGGGGTAGGTTTGCATGTAGGCCTGCACGCCTGTTCGCGCTCGGCCTCGCCTTTGACGCAGACCGACGTGCCGAGCCAATGGCGAGATATCTCACAACATTCGCATTACCACAACAGCGAAGGCAGCTGCGGGAAGGAGGTTAGTGACCCACATTCCCGACGATTAGCTCGGTCTTTCGAAGAGATTTGATGGCGAATTCGGTGTTGAAAGGATCTCGCTCCTGCGCGCGCAGCGGACACGCGTAGGAGATGTCGGAGATGATGGCATCTCCGACCCGCGTCCGACATGGAACCATCATACTGAAGATGCATCCTATATGTGCGTGCGGCCACCCAAACATGAAATCTCGCGATGGGTACGTGTGGATCATCCTCCTGCGCTCAAATCACCAATCGCTTCCATGAGTTGGCGCCCTGACAAGATGCGCAGGGCATTGACGATGCATAGCTTGCGAGTGACTGCAATTGTTGATCGAGGAGTGTGAATATAGCAAGATAGCGAGTAGGCCACTTCTCACGGTGAAGTCTGTCGAGAGTCGTCGGGTCGAGGCAGCGATGGAGGTGAAATCTGGAGGTGCAGGACCGGTTCGCTTGATCGGGCAACGACGCACAGACTTGGTTCCTTCGCATTTTGCCTTCCGAATCAGTGTGGTCCTCACTAGCACTCTTGCTTGAACGCGCACAACGACCAACCCACGCCCAAGCCCCGACTACCCTGAATCCATCCCGATCATCTGCTGGGGAGCTTCATATAAACATATTCGGCCATCTACACCCGCGCATCGCCATCTCATCGCCCGCCTATTCCTGCATCTCCACCGGATCTCATCCCATTTCAGTGCACACGGCCCGGTACGCGCAACTAGCCCGAGGATAGCTTTTTACTATGCTAACGTCGACTTGCTGTCTTAGCATCTAGGCGCCTGTCCTCTGCTTCGCGTATCTCATCCCCCACCACACTCCGCGCAAACTCGACGCAATTCGCCCTCCATCTCGCCGCATAACCTCGCCGTCGCCCGCACATTGAAAATGGCATCCACCGAGTCATCCGGCCCCGTCAACGGCAACTACGCGCCGCAGCAGTACGAGAACAGCTACTCCACCGGCGCCTCCAACTTCACACCCTCGCAGCAGCCCACGCCCAGCCAGCCCGCACAGCAAGCCGCCGCCTCAGAGATCCCCAAGGACGAGGTCGGCTGGTACTTTGTCGAGCAGTACTACACCACCCTGAGCAAGAGCCCGGACCGACTCTACGTAAGTCGCACGCGGCGGGGAGGCTTTTCTTGGTGACCACGCGACTGACCCAACGTGCAGCTTTTCTACAACAAGCGCTCCCAGTATGTTTCCGGCGTCGAGGAGGACAAGGTCAACGTCTGCCTAGGCCAAAAGGTAAGTGAAGAATGCTCAATTGCAGTCGATGCATGCTGACCCGCGTCTAGGCCATCAACGAGCGCATCAAGGAGCTCGAGTTCAAGGACACCAAGGTCCGCGTTACCAACGTCGACTCGCAGGGCTCCGATGCCAACATCGTCATCCAAGTCATCGGTGAGATCTCCAACCAAGGTCAGCCCCACAAGCGCTTCGTGCAGACCTTTGTCCTCGCCGAGCAGACCAACGGTTACTTCGTCCTCAACGACATCTTCCGCTACCTTGCCGACGAGCCCGAGGAGGACGAGGACCAGCAAGAGCAGGCCGCGCCCCCCAACGGTGTCACGGAGCCCGCTCCCACCGCTGCCGTCCCCGAGAATGCCGACCTCAACCAGAGCGACGAGATCGCGACCAGCGAGGAGGACCTGAACAAGGTGGACAACAAGCTACACCAGGCTGCGCAAGAGGAGCCGTCTGTCGAGGAGGTTGCGCCTGCTGCCCCAGCTCAACAGGTTCCAGAGGAGATTGAGCAGCCCGCTGCTGAGGAGGCACCTGCTGCTGTCGAGGAGAAGGTCGCAGAGCCAACCCCCGCCGCTGAGGAGACCGCCGAGCCCGAGAAGCCTGCCGCTGCCGCCCCTGCCCCCGCCCAAAAGGCTGCCCCCGTTGCCATGCCCTCTGGTCCCCCCAAGCCTGCCGCTCCCCGAACTTGGGCCAGCCTCGCCGCCTCAGCACACAAGGTCGCTACCCCAGTCGTCAACGCCCCCGCCGCTCAGCAAGCTCCTTCGCAGCCCAAGGCCGCTGCCGCCGCTCCTGCTCAAGCCGCTGCTGCTGCCCCTAGCCAGACCTCAGCACCTGCTCGTGACCAATCCCCTGCGACAAGCCAGGGCGAGGCTGCTGGCTGGCAAACAGCCACTGGACACAAGAAGGAGCAGTCCCGCGCACAGAACGCAGGACCTGCCGCCGACCCCGACCAGAAGCGCGCTTACATCAAGAACGTCTACAGCCAAGTCGACGACGCTGCTCTGAAGACTGCCCTGACCAAATACGGCGAGATTGAGTACCTTGACATCAGCCGTGGCAAGGTAAGTAAATGTGCCTCACAACATTGTACCTCAACTAACATTGTGCAGAACTGTGCTTTCGTCGACTTCAAGACACCCGCTGGATTCCAAGCTGCCGTCGCAGCCAACCCCCACACGATCAACGGCATTGAGATCAAGGTCGAGGAACGCCGCCAGAACCCCGGCCAGTTCAACAGGGGAGGAGGATTCCCTCGTGGCGGTGCTCCCCGCGGCGGCCGTGGCGGTATGGGTGGTCAAGCACCCCGTGGCAACTTCCAACCTCGGGGACGCGGTGGCCCCATGCGTGGCGGTCGCGGCGGCGCTGCCCCTCAGGAATCATAGGAGGCTTCACGCGCTGCTTGCTCCCTCGTTCCTTTTGCCATTCTTCTTCTATCTCTTGTTGAGTCGGTTTGACTCGATGGCCTCACGACTGACGGCTTTAGCCATGTACTGTACCGACCCCCTTTCAGCGCTTGTATAAAAGTCATTTCATTTCGAGGAAAAGTCTGGGCGTACGCGTTCGTCTTAGGGCTCTGAGCCCTTGCATAGCGAGTGGTTTCGTTTCTGCATGTTTCCTTTCTGTATCCGTGTATATCCGTTCAGCCGTTTTCGAACATATTCCCTTCTTCGCGGTCGCATTCTTCGTCAAGTAATGTTTAGGGAAGGCTATCTGGGGGTTCCTGGGTACGGGCTAGGGATGTCATAGCATCTGGTGTAATGGGTGTACAGCATAGCTTCGGCGACAACAGGATCGGACGGGGAAGGGCAGTCAAATCGTGAGATGATCTGGTACGAATACAATAAATGATATACGCTCCAACACAGTGTAAATGTACTAGAGTGAGGTTGTCTGGTGATTGCTGATAACGTCACCTGATAGGTATAGTGCGACGCGGGATGTGCCTAGTGCTGCGCTGACCGTTGATTCGAAGACGCGCAATCACCTGCATCAGCAACAGCCCATAAGCTTCAAGCCGCGCCAACCTGCGTTTCGTGCATACGAAACACTCGTACCCTGATACCCTGATAATTCAGCTGCTGCTCTTCCTCACACTCCACTTAATTAACGCTGGCGCATTATCACGAGGCTAAGGTCGCAGTAGATCGCGCGGGGCTAAGCGGGGCCGTCGCGCGACGTGCATCACATCACCACTCGGTATCTACTGAAGCTGACCAAGTCTCTCGCTTTCAACCCGCTGTACTCACCTACTCTGCAACATATGCCCCAGGAGCTCTGCAAAGATGCGACCGCTACCGGGCGGCGACGCCCTGCCTCCTACTGTTCGGCCGCGATCTCGTAAATCAAGCGTCGATCATCCTACCGCCCCTTCGAGTAATGTCCCCACTACCTTCGTCATGAAGCGCGTCGGGGATTTGGAGCACACCATGGCTCCTCCTCATAGCGCGACTGCTCCAGCAAAGCAGCAGGACAGTACATTCGGAGTACAGAGTCTTGCAGATACTTTGGAGGCTGCTTTCGGCCCAGAAGGTACAGATCCAGAAAAGGCTAGTAAGACGCAGCATCATGGGGCAAAGAGTTCAAGATCCGAGTCGCATAGCTCTTCGACAGATTCAGCCACACCGCCAGACAGATCCAGGATAACTTCGGTACGGAAACTGAGGAGAAACTACACCAAAAATGACTCGATTACACACTTTAAACTTCCCGCCGCCAGCGTCGATGTTCCTTCCCCACTCCCCACGTCCGCTATGGGGAGCACACCGAGGTCCGCTTCGATAACGTCGCTCAAGCTGTCCGATGAGGAGTTTGCCATGGATGATGCTGCGAGTCAGGCCGTTATTTCGAGTGGAGAGGAGGAAGAGCAGGTAGAAATGCAGCAGGACATGGCGAGCTTTCCACAGCTGGTCATGCCTGAGATGCAGATGCCAACCAGGAGGCCATTCACGACCAGAGGCAAGGCTATGGGAAAGCTGAGAGTTATGGTGGCGGGCGAGACAGGTGCGTCATAGTCGCGACATGCGATATCATTTCGGTAGAAAGCGCTATACTGACAAGCACTATGCAGGTGTCGGCAAATCGTCCCTCATTCGATCCATCGTTCAGGCCTGCGAAGACATCGTACACGTAGATCCTCTATCGCCCACCCAGCCGAGCGCGCCTCGCCCGACGAAGTCGAAATCGCGCACAAAGAAAGCCGAGCATGCGGTCACAACCCGGGTGACTGAGATACATGCGAGCACGAAGCCTTACCCTCATTGGTGGACTGATACCGAAGAGAGCGGCATTCTGCGGAGAAGAAAGAGCAGTATGGATACTGTCTTGGAGAGAAACATATGTTTCGTAGACACTCCTGGGTACTCACAAGGCTCTGCGGAGAAGGATATGAGCATGGTGATAGACTATGTCGAGTCGCTGTTATATCAGACCTCATCAGTAACGACATTAGAAGACAATGATGTGCTTGGGGTTGTCAGTGGTAGTGGGGGCGTCCTAGTTGACGTCGTCATATACTTGCTCCCACCAAGTAAGCCAAACCATCGTTCGGACTGTCATTCTTACTGACTTCACCCAGATCGTGACATCACGAAAGATGTTGAGTACATGCAACGGCTATCGCACTTTACCAACGTTGTGCCTGTCATTGCCAAATCAGACACACTTTCGGCGCAAGAAGTGGTAGCTCTAAAGACGTCCATACTCGCACGGCTGCAAACTACTGCTCTTAGACCCTTCTTCTTCGGAAAGGCTATGGACGATGCTTTACTTGCCGTACAGGGCCTTCCGGTCGCTAGGACTTCAGGATCAGGAGCGCCAACTGAGGCAGCTGAATACCCCTTCACTACACCAACCTATCCTTACGCCGTCTCTTCGACGTCTGGTCCGGACCACGATAACATGGATGCGTCCTTGCTCATGTCGCCCGACTACGTGCAGCCTCTTCTTCCATCTGAACTCGCTACCCTAGTCAACCAAGTATTCGACCCTGACTCCATTGCGTGGCTTCGACATTCGGCAGCGAAGAAGTTCTTAGCATGGCGACGCAGGATAAAGCTACCAGGCGACTCTGTAATGCTGCAAAGTCTAGCTCAACCACGCAGTCCGACCACGGCTTCAATCGGACTGAACGGAGCCCACCTGAATTGTAAGTTATTTTCCCCCCACAGTGTGCAAGCTAACATCTTTATCAGCATCTGCAGCATCCTCAGTATTCTCCGCTGCATCGCCATCGGGTGTCCTGGTGCCCGGATCAGGATCACCATTCTACCCATCGAACCTACAATCCCCTCTCCTCGCTTCCTCTCCCTCCCTAGCCAACTCCGAGTCCCTCGAGCCCCTAGGCAACTTTTCACTAGCAAGATACAACAACATCGCGCAAGGCGAGCAGCGCCTCAGCGAAGTACGGATAGCAAGATGGGCAACAGATCTGCAGCGCAGCCGACGGAACGAAAGAGAACGATTCGAGGAACTCCAGAGCAACGACAGGGCGAAATGGCTGCTCGAGCGCGTCGGCGAGGAGGTATCGAAAGGCACAATCGTCGCGTCGCCTGGCGGTTCACCGAGAGCTGAATGGGCGATCGTTAGACACAACAGCGACGAGAAGAAGACTGCTAAGATCAGTCAACGCTATGCCAAAGCTGTTGGGCTAGACTCGCGAGATCCGCTTGGCCTGTGCAATTTCGGCGACGAATTAAGGCGACAGAGCTTCGTTCTCGTGAAGGTGCTAGGCGGCATGAGCGTATTGGGTGCTGTCGTCGTGGCCGTCGTTAGGGCGTGCGGCATTGAGACTGGGCTGCCTCAGCTCGGCTGGTGGGAGTGGATTACCAACTCGGAGTGATTGGCCACTGTTGTTCGCTGCACGTATGTCTATCCATGAGCTTTATAACATGTATGATGTGATACCTTATAGACACTCTTCTACATTGTAGCTTGACGGGACATCTCGAGTGTAGGGAATAGAATCTTACTCTACAAGGAATGTGTACTCGAGTTTGATATCGGTGACATTGTCGCAGCGATGGTAGAGTGTGTCATCAATACGCCGGCTTGATCATGTGGGTCATGATGTGATGCTTCACTATTGCAATTGGGGATGCGTACACTTAGCTCAGAAGTATAAATTGGGTCATTCGCTACGGGTTGGGTAGATTGGTCGGGGATAGCATGCCACACTCCAGACTGACACGGGCTGCTAATAGTTCATCATAGAACGGAGTGCCTTAATTCTATCCGTCGACTAAGCGAAGACATCTTCATGGGTAACGTGGCAAGGCATGGCGAATCAGCTAGTGTTGGGTGTGTAATCAATACTTCTGGAGAGCGTTGGGGGTGACGCCTGTCGAATTCATTGACTGGCGGCGTCTCAGTGAAGAAGCAAGTGTGGGTGCTGAGTAGCGGCACGAATCTGTACAGCATGCACGTTGTACCAAGTAGACGATGTGCATCAACTATCCAACGCCCAGTAGAGCTCCGTGGTCTAGTAAGCATGAATGGTCCGTGAGCCCTTAATGGGCTGGCGCTTCAGCGAGTGCAAATCAGACCTGGCTCGTTGCTAGAATGCCTATTGAGGTGTGCAGATGCACCTGGACCGTTGGGACTCGGTCATATCATCTCCATCCAATAGCCACATATTTCGCCCTTTCTTGGATAACGCAAGTTGATCTGGTGCCCCCCGCTCGATCGCAGCGTGCCTTCGATGCTGCAGCTCCGCCACCGGATGGGTGTGAAGGAAGTATGGAACGCGGCGCTGGTCTGCAGTGCATCGTGCCGGAAAGAGAAAAAGCTGTTCATTAGATACATGACGTGATATCATACGTGTACTTGTTGAGTGCTGTGGCGGGGAGCGCGAGACGGAGATGGGCACTGCGTACTGCCTTGCCATCCGGATTCTGCGTAGGGGGTGTATGGAACCCTGTCAGTATAAGCATACTACCGCCTATCGCGTCCCGCTAGTAAGGTCATGACATTTTCCGCTTGTCACGATTATTGGGGCTGGATCGTGGGAATTGATCTGAGCTCCCGCGAAAGGGTGTGATGGGCCAAATGAGGGTGTTGGGACGCAGATGTGAGTCCGACGGGGGCATGGCCTTTTGATGCAATTCGAGCGTCTGGGTGTGCTATGGGACTCAGAGATCTCCTGTGCGCGGATCGGAGATGGTTGTTCTGCGGCGTTCACTCACGTTTGTCTCCACGTGGTCTATTTTGACCTGCACGTCCACGAGATTAAGTTGCAGCAAACTTTATACACATTGCAGAGGTCATTAGCAGGCATTTTATCCGGTCGTGTTATATTTGGGGGTGGCTGTTCTATTGTTCTTGTATTAGGGTTGAGAGCTGGTCATGTTTGGGCTCAGATATGCGGCATCTCAACACTTCAATAGAAGTGACCGCAACGTGACGGCTCTTCAAGTTTTCAAGCTATGCGTTGAATGACTTGTCGTCTGAATCTTACATTGCTGATCAGTCACGTCACCTTAGCATGAATCTGAATGTCATGACTAGCAGAGTACATACAGTATTTGGTACCTAGGTAAGAGCAGCCCCACTCACCAAAATCGACATCTCACGCAGAGCCCCTTCGCAGTGTATTATGGAACGTCCTATTCATCAACTCTTGGTTACAGTAATTGATCAATGAGATTATGAGCACAGCATCACATTGTGTGTGCTAACCGCTGCCGTTGAGCATTCGGCACTGGAAAGTGCTGTCTTGGACATGCCGAGCGATGATTGCCTTCTAGATGGTGATCATGACGCTGACGTGGCGAAATCTTCATTATTGCCGTCGCCATACTGTAGTTGAGTATATGGAACGGTTCCTAGTACAATGAACACAAATACTGCCTACGATATAGGACACAATGTCGAGCCAGAGCCCTGTTGAACGTCAAGGTTATATTCATCCGCCGCACATTGTTAAGAGCAATGCATAGGCGGTGCAACATGAGATACTAACAGCGATCATTATGGTGGGTGCTATGATACCGGTGGTAGTAGTCGCAGACAGTATCTGTACGGATGCTCGTAACCGCAAATCCTTCAGTGGCTCGGTAACAGGGATTCATGACCCTCCTGCCTATCCAAGGAAGCCTGATTTCATGTAGCGCCATATTCTTGCAGTAAGCTGAACTATTTGGAATCACTACACCGTCAAAGTAATCACAGTCCCTAGGTTCCACGTGATGCGGCTCCGCCCATCCAGTGAAGCTCGATTGCCAGGGGTCGGCGGCAGATGATGACGCCAGCGGGCCGCGGGAATCTATCCGTAAAAGCAAGACCCACGGAGGTGGGTTTGACTTCGTGTCAGCTTCACAGTAGCGCGTGTTTTCAGTTGCTCGATGTCAGAAGGTTGTGGAAGGACGCACGCATCGTGGTGTATGCCAAGGATGGAAACCCGACAGCATGGCAAGGTGCGCCATCTTGGGGATTTGGCTTAAAAGCCGCGTAAGATATTGGTGTGGATGACCCAAAAGTAGGAACTAGACGCTGGAAAAATGAGGCCAGTACAGGGAGCACACCGATCGTGTGGTGTAAGAAGGCAACCGAGTGATGGAAGACAAGGAAGAGTGCCGAAATTATGCAACACAAACATTTCGGCTGAATGCCCAGGTATGGCGCTTGTCTGAATATCTCGTAATGCCGTCATGCCGTGAAGGCACATGAACCCGATTGTGATAGGCTCGCAAAACCCAAGGGACGAGACAAGCGCATGGCGACTATGGTTACTCGTAAACGGTGGAGCTCTCCCACGAAGTGCGCCGTGATGCAGGGCCCCCGAGATGCACCATGACGGAGATGTGATGGTGTCACCATGGCGTTGGGTTATGGCCTGATTCTTGCCGCTGCATCATGTGTCCTGCCGGGTGTGCTTAGAACAGCGGCCCCCACGAATACTGGGATTGGCCGGCAGATGAACCCGCATGGCGCGATTGCCGATATCTCGAGTTGCTGCCATATTCGTATACAAGCGTTGTACCAGATCTCCACAACTTACAACTCTGTGCTGCATCGATCCTGCGCTCGTTTGTCTGGCGTTTGACTTGCGACAAAAGCCCACCTGGCCGGCCTGCAAATATACTATAATGCGAAGCCGCCGGTTTCACATGTCGACCGTACAGTATCTCTGGTCTCCACCAGTTTCGACACTGCATGGCGGCTGCAGGGTTCTTATTGCGAAGCACTGTGCTTCCGTTCTTCCGCCTCTTCCCAGACGCATCTAGCGCACATACAATCTCCGCCAAGTGCTCCAGAAGCCCATTCCCGTCTCTCCTTCACCGGCAGACGTACGTCGCAGTAGTGGCCAAACACCTCTTCATCTCTCTTGAGACCAGGCCCCTTGTTCGGGTCTCTACCCTTCCAATCAACCAACTCTTCGCGGGTCCAAAAGCGCATCGACCCACGCCATTCCCAGGCGACATTAGGATCACAGCTATGATTCGCGAGACACCACATAGGATGAACAGCGCTAATCTCAGGCCTTCCGTCGAGCCCCTGCTGCGCAGACGCTGTTCCGCGGAACTTCGCATACAGAGTGTTGAAGACCCAGGTATCATAGCGGTGACTTTGGGTGAAAATGTTGATGTCCATCTTTTCTAGAACATGCAACGGCATGAGTATGTTGCTCTTGAACGAGAAGGGAAGCGTTTGCGGTACGTGTGCAAAAGCATCGCTCAGGCTACCCGAAGCATCCGCTTGCCACACGGTCTCGAGATCTTTGCCATGATAGTCACCCCAAATGTATCGCACTTCCTTCAACTCCAAAGGATGGAGATCCAGGGTCTCCGCTAACGCTAGTGCGCGGACAAGGAGAAGGGTATAGAGATAGTCTGCCGCCTCACGTGCGGGTACCTTGCCCTGGTCGACGCTGACACCACATAGCGCTGGATGATACTGGTCTTGAGCTAGGTCGTGGCACTCTTCGCTGCAGAAGAATACTTCTTCACATTCTTCGCAGGATATCACTGTATCGTCTCCATTCGCAAGTGGTATAACGCAAGCATCGCAATACGACTCATGAAGCCTTGATATAGCGGTAAGTAAAGACTTTTCCTCCAAAATGGTCTCGCCAGGTGTTATTTCGTCTTTAGCAAATAAGCCCAGTTGCTTCGTATAGTTTGTTCCCGGGTTCGTTCCGTCAGTTGTCGAAGTAGTACTGAGAATAGGCAACTCAGAGACTCTGACCTCCAGTTTTGGTGCTATATCCGCAAGCTCCTCATTAAGGAAGTCGAGGCACTCTGCAGAGAAGCGGTCCGGCTCATGATGGTTCCAAGGATACTGTTCGCGGCGGACGAAGCCCTTGTCTGGATAGTCTTCTACATCGACGTTCTCAGCAGACTCCCCTTGATGCTCGAAGTAAGTCCGCAAATGGTTCCACAAAGACTTCTCGTAGTCCTTGAAGACCGGATCTTCCGGAAAGGCTTTTCTTGCGCGGGATATATAGTCAGATGCACTGCGTAGACAACCACAGTCCAATAAGCAGCTGATTAGTATATCATGACTGTGAAGATTAGCTTCCCACTCGAAAGTTCATCCAACATAGGACAATTTACGTACGCGCTCCTAGACCAGCGCGTTTGCGCCCATGTCAAAATGTCATCATCTACTAAAGACGAATTCTTCTCCTCATCCTTCATGTCCAATTCTGTCATACGTTCAGAGATAACGTCTGTTCGTGCTGCCTCCAAGGCTTCGTCGTGGTATTCGCCTTCATCGAGTACTTCATCCACTAGGATGAGGGCTTTGTATGCATCACCCGCAGCGAGATCTGGATAACCAAGTGCTTGGTACGCTTTTGAAAGCCGTAGACGGCTTGATATACTGTACGGCTCTTCGACCGTAGCCTGCTGGGCCGACACGACTTCCTTTGTTAGTCTCTCACGAAGGGTAGTATTTTTCTATGAAAGTCAGACTTGTCGTGGAATTTCGTTCATTAGCACTTGCCTCCATGTTTCTTGTCAAATCAATTAGTGCTTTCTTGATGTATGTCTGATGCCCGTCGAGACTTCGGAAACTTCTGCACGATCGTGTGGGGGCGGAATTAGCGGCTGCGCTATCGATAAGGCTAGCTCGACCTTCATCAACACACAACCAGACGCCACAATGTCTACGTGTGACATATCAGCTTCGCCATCAAGCGCGATCACTTGAAACGAGCCGTAGGTGAGCAAGAAATCTGACGATATGCTTCCGTCTGCAGCAGAACTTGTCGCGCGGTATCTGAGAGCGAATGGGTACACTCAGGTTACGTCATCACTACCCAGGTGATGTGAAGGTGCTAACACTGACCTAGACCTTGAACAGCTTCGTTCAGGAAGCCGACCTGCCTTCGGATACGGGCTCAGCTGCTGACAACCCGATCACTATCGAGTCTATCTTGCAAGAGAAGAAGACATTCGACCTAAGCCTCAACTTTGAGAAGCTTGGGGTTGATGATGCAAAGCAAGCATGGACCGTTCAGGCGCCTGCTAAGCCGAAAGTTGTAGAGTCTTTACCGAGTCGATCCAACATACTCAGCATTTCCGTTCTCGACCTGTTACTGCCATCAACGACAGCAACACAACAGTATATTGCCGTCACCACGGCTGATCGTCAATTACACCTGATGGATCCGAGCACATCGTCGCTTGACTGCATCCAGACGATTTCCAGCTTCCAGGGTTCTCCAACTCTAGACATTGTTCCGGTAGACTCCAGACGACTGCTGATAGCTTCGATGTCTGGCAAGCTGACGCTGTTCGATGCAGCCGCCAACGCCATACTGGAAGAACGTAAAGATCACTCCAAGTATGTTGTCAAAATCTCCACCTGGTCTTCCGAAGGCGGTTCCATGCTAGTTGCCAGCGCGGGATGGGATGCCAAAATAGTCCTATACCAGCTTGATCCCAATGTCGACCAGCCGCGACTAGGAGACCCAATAGCAACCTTGTCGTTACCCAGCATTCCAGAGTCGACCTTATTCGTCACCTTACCTGGAGACGGAACACCAGTCCTGGTAGTTGCTCGAAGAGACTCGACCTTTCTGCATTTCTACGCTGTACCTAGCCCAGAGTCACCGACGTTCACCCTGATCGGCAAGCAGAATCTTGCTCCGCATTCCAATGCCTGGGTTGCATTCACGCCATCCGATATCCAGATCTGCCCTACAAATCCACATCTTGTGGCGATCGCGACATCCAGCACGCCGCATATGAAGCTACTGGTCGCGAAGCTTCTGCTTCCTCCTACTCGTTCTTCAGTAACGGATACAGGTACTAGTCTAGACTCGGATGGACCCGTCACACAAGCGTCGCAAGCCCGGGCTGAGCTGCTCGTTGCAGATAAAGAAGAAGCGGCTATATTAGTCAATGTCTCCACTCTTGCGCCACAAACCGCTTACTCCACGCCGCGTCTCGTCTGGCGACCTGATGGCTCTGGTGTGTACGTGAGCTCTGATGATGGTGTGGTTCGTGGCATTGAAACCAAGAGTGGAAAGTTGATCTCATCATTGGAGGCACACGAGCCTGGGTCAAAGCTACGATGTCTCTGGGCGGGCCAGATGGTAGGGCCTAGTTCCCCTGGTTCAGACGACAAAGGGAAGGCCGAGTTCTTGATAAGTGGGGGGTTCGATCAAAAGCTTATCGTCTGGAGTTCGTCTTGATCCTTCCATATGCAATGCCATCTCGATGGAGGCTATATAGCATACTCAGGGGCATGCATACGTACTTCATGGCTTTCTAGAGTAAGAATGGCAACGTGCAGCTCGTTCCTGGTGCTAATCCTTCGTTGGGAAGGATGTTGCTGACTCGACTAGATTTGACCACAGTTGGCGCTTTATTGTCCCCAAACGATGCAACAGTTATGCGCTAAAGGACGTTAATCCTAGGTGGTACCACTTACCCGTTCCTTTACTATACTTCATCCAGCAACGGCTATCTAGCATGTAAGTAGCCATAGCTGCGGCAACGTCCGAGGCGTGCCGCAACGCCTCTATCACTAAATGCATGCAAAGACCGATCATAGTCGACAGCAGCCGGACTTGCAGGATTACTGGGTCTTTAACATGCCTCATTTACTGAATGAAGTATGGTATTAATTCTTTTTGATCGGCAAAGGCAGTATGCGACACCCCACGTCGATCCGATCCCTCAGCAGCTGCCTCACGACCCTCGTAGCGACGCAACCAGGAAATGCAATAGGTACGGTTGCATGTTCCAAGATGAAGTTGATGACGCTATCAGCAAGCCAGTGGCGGCTTTTACGCGGCACCTAGCGCCGTTAACGGGATGGCGGTGCCATGCACCCTTGCACCTTAAGGACCGCGATCTCGCTAGCTTGAGATCTGGTGGAAACGAGACAAAACGCCGCATCAACGCCATGGCTTGAGCTTCAAGGATCAATCTCTTGCTCCAGATCTGACTGCAGACCGGGACGGGGAGGCTTCCTATAGGTAGTTCGCCGACTATCACAAGGATATCCGACCCCTACTCTTACGATGCCGGAACGGGAGATCATGGCTGATGGTAGTTTAAAAGCAGAAGAACGGATCTCGTCCTACGCGATCAAAATCTCAAGTTCCCCGATCGTTCTCATCCCAACTCCCATCTTCGATTTGCTATTGAATGAGCCCTGATCAATCATATTCTAGTTCAATTACACATTGACGTGTCCTTGGAGGTGGATATCTCCAGATACAGTCGCGACACCCACATTTCAACAATGTCCTACACAGATTCTCAGAAGTACGGAGATGAAGACTTTCTTCTTGTCGTCTCTGGGACAACACGTTATGCTCCATACTTGACTGGCTGGCAAGAATTCAAGGACCACCTTCGCAAGGTGGTCAAAGAGCAGCCGGGATGGGCTGATGTATATTCCAGCCAAGGTCAACGACGAGGGGAGATGCAGGGGTGGTGTCGTCTCAAGGACAGGGAGGATGCCGATGCAGTATACAGTGCGTACCGAAGTCGCTAAACTTGGGTAACACGACGCTAACTCCATCCGTAGAAGTCTACTACCGTTCAAAGGGCATGCTGGTGCATGTGTGGGAAACGAGTCGCAAGGGTGACGGTTACCGATTAATGCGTTGCAACTGCTCCACATTGTTCCCTGAAGTGCCCGAAGGAGGCCATTCCACTGGGCGTTGTGGCATCGACATCGGAAGAGTAAACCAACTTGGCGGCGCCCGCGCGAGCACGACAGCAGCATCTGGGCCATACATGACAACACAGGCCAGGTACCCGTACGCAATGTACCCGCAGATGCAAACATATTCCCCCCAGCAAGTCGCATATACCCATGCCCCAGTTTACCCAGCTTATGCGTTGCCGCAACCACCTGTATACTCGACTAGCACGAACGGAATGCCAGTCAATGTCCGGGGTGGAGCAGTCTTGACTGAAGCGCGCGGCATCTTCGTTCGTAACCTCAGCTACAAATGCACATCCGACGACCTCAATGCGCTGCTGTTGCAAACCGTCGGATACGCCATCGAAATCCAGCTCATGAGAGATAGCCGCACCGGCGTGTTCAAAGGCGTGGCAACCGCCAAGTTTGCCTCGAAGGAGTTGGCGCAACACGCGGCAAACACGCTGAATGGGCGCGAGCACATGGGTATGGTGCTGCACGTGCGCATGGATACTGATACCACGGTGGTTGGACGAACTGAACCCATGGTTGTGAACGGGTCGTACAGAGTACGTTGATGAAGTCAATATGACGAATCAGTTTCTAATATAGTGTAGCATTGATAGCTATGAAATGGAACATGACTTCAATTTTGCGACACAAATAGTCTCTTAGGAGGTCATCCGCGCTTCTTCATGCCACGAGGAGCAGCCGTGTGGCGTAGTGATATGATGCTGTCACAACAGCTTTGCACGCGAGGGCGTTGTTGTGGAGTGTCCCACTGTTCGGTTTTGTTATAGGGAACGGGTGATCGAGGTGAGGATGACAGCGGAGCAATGTCCATTACCGGTTGTATCGCCTCAAGTACTGTGTACCAAGACAGCCTTGAGCCCCGCGGCGCAGGGTTACAGGGGCGCTAGATCTTTCGGTTTCAGATCCTAATGCCGTCGTACATATTCCCGCAAACGTAAACTGGACCAAGCTCGAGCGTTGGCTAGGGCTATACCAGCCGCAAATAAGCAACATGACGCCGTCCTACTCCAGACAAGTTTTATCGGCTCGTTGTCCATATGGATTGGTTGAATTCTAGAAGATCTGTGTAAGGGACATCACATGTGAAGCCACTCTTCTTAGAGTGAACACCCGCAGTGATCTCGTGTATCGAAGGCTGACGTCCAAGTAATGTTGACCAGGTGTCCGGGTCTCCGGGTCGCCTAATCTTATCTGTCATAAAGCAGGCTGAACGTTAGATCGTCTTCGTTACGAGCCACGGCGGGGCGGACTTCCTCGGTGCCCAACGTGCGATACGGGGGTTCTGGAAGAATTAATGAAGATCCAGTAGGTATAGCACTGCCGCTTTTACCTTCGATTTTAACTTTCTCCTTGAGCATGGTCGATGCCGAGAAATCTCGGCGATGCGCCCTCAGCCTGGTAGCTGTGAGGTCAACGATATTGCCCAGAGAAATGTCGTATGATTATTGATGTATTACATGCATTCATGTAGGTCATGTTCGTATGATACCCACGATGACGCGCTTGCTAGGGTCGTTGCACAGCTATAGAAGGGTAATGAGACGTCAACAACCCCACGCGATACAAGGATACTCGCTAGCTCATTTCAGCGGCTGGGATAGAGGAAGAAGAACCCAAGAGATCTCGAAACGAAGACTAACGCACGACGCGCCGCGGGGATCGTGGTCAGCGACCCGTTCCGCACCGACGCTATAGCGGTGTGATATCACGCTACATGGATAATGAGTAGTAGCGGTGCAGGAGTGATGCAGGATCTTGGGTTTCACGGCGTCGCGCCACCCACGCGTCTCGTGTACGGCAGAACACGAGCG